AAATGTGACGACATAGTCGATCCCTTATCCACCGCTAAGAATGTCGCAATGTTTCGTTCGTTTTGCAACATGCCACAAATCGTCGAAAAAAACACCACTTCGACGGAAGCTTGCGTTATAAGGGGGTTAAAACAAGAAAACAAATGCCATTTTTAATACATATCGACCTGTTTTACTTGCGAAAGATAACGGAACATGAACTCGTTTCGTGCGACTTCGGTACCCGAAGGAACACACCAACAACGTTGAATGTACCCGCTATCTTCCAAATATGGTATATTAATTTATTCAGTTGTTTATTTAGAGTGACGTCCGCAGTCGAGTGCGATTGGCTATCGATGTCAGTGCAAAGGTCATATGAATATTAAAATTAAGTGGGCGGAAGGAAAATTGTATAGGAGACAAGCTGGAGTCTCGTGTGGCGATAGCGATAACACCGGGACGAATGGTCTGGGGTAAGCTTTAATGCTAAACATTACATTTTTATTTTAGTCAGAGCTATTGAAAGAAACAAATCCGAATGGTAAATTTGTAACAATCGAACAGGTATTTATTACTGTTTTTGCAATAGAGTATATTACTTTATCCCGTATATCGTGGCAGTTCAGTTCAATACAGTGGTGCTAGTGTTTTGTCATCTCCACATAATGTCTCGATCGTCTGACTCGTTCATAAAAAATGAGATTAAAATTTAGACATCACTTCCAGCTATCACAAAATACGTCATTCACTTAGGCGTCCTATACATTTACTTTGAATAAATCTTATCTGTGCGGTCACTAATGAGATACTCGCTATATGTTTCTGTATCAGATCTTGTTAAAAATGCAATAAAATTAAAACATGGAACCAAGTCACATTCCCGTGGAGTAAACTTACAGAATGTGTTACGAGAATCTCTTTCATTTGTGGAATGGGTGGGCGAGTGATATCGACATTCATTGATTTGCAATTAGTCCACCACATCATGCCATTGACAAAATGAGACAAGTTAAAGTGAGGCTTAAGTAAAATGGGGCACCTCTTAAATATTTACATTTGTGCAGGTGTTTTTCATGTCATTCTCTATTTCTATTGAAAGTTTTGCTGAATGGAATAGCATATAAATGAGTCATTGCAACTAAACTATGTTTTCTTTCCAGGTTGCTGACCTTGCAGTGTTTCTGTGTTCTCCTGCAGCTGACCAGATAACTGGAGCTTGTATACCAGTAGACGCAGGTTACTGGTCGAAATAGTCACACAATATAGATCTATATGTAATATTAAATATTGATCTATATGTAATATTTCATAATCTAGCTCATAATTGTGAATTCTTTGGACGACTCTTAGTAAAGCAAGTATGCGTTTGATGTTGTAGTTTTGTAGATATCACTTATTGGTGATTGCAACACGTATGATAACGTAATGGGACAAATATAACCTAAAAATACATATCGTATATTAGTTGAAAATATTTTCTACCATCACTCCCCATAAGTGTACGATTTGTAGTTTTGAATCGACATATGAAGGGGTTCAGGTCGGCTACAAAAGTATTATCACTTTTCCTAAAGATGAAATTCACATTGGATTCGTCGCAACCTGCCATCCCGGGATGCATATATATATATACGCAAGTTTTCTTTGGCAGCAATATATTTCTCGTTTTTGGGGTCGGCCTCAAGATTTTCGACTTTCTTTCCCACGAGGGCGTTTACATTGAATTGCTTCCCAAGTACTGCTCCGCGATACAATACAGTCTAAGTTCCTGTTTGCACAATGGGATTCACGATTTCAGACCAACTTCAAAATATTCACCCCTATCTTCCTGGATGACCACTGCAATTTATTGGTTTCAATACACGATACACTGGCACTCTACAGCCATATATAGCTGTCTATGTTTTGATGCATTTTTATATTAATATTAATGCACATTGCATGAAATGTAATAAGGTTTTTATCCAATCAGAGTTTAAATTCCTCTTATGATTATTTATGAGGTATGATTTTTAATGTTATAACATTGAATTTTGTTGTATGTATAATTTTCATTTTTTTTTTCTAAACTAAAGGGAAATAAATATTTTAATACTAAAATACAAGTATCATTGGTTAAATGTGTTTTGAGTTGTCTGATTGAATATGAGTTAAAAGAATATTGTATTCATTATTTAAATTATCTATGTTCTATTCAAAGCCGCAAAATTTAAGGAATATAAAACAAATGAAAGGTATGGGGGACTGTGTTGCAAGTTAAAACTAAAACTCAACCTTAATGATTACCAACCTCGGCCTCATTTTATATTAGTACCTGTCAGACATAGTCAAAAATAGGGACTAGTGTCCTGGGTTCATATATATGGTGATGGACTCAATATAAAGTTCAATGGCTCCCAATCTCTGTAAACTCCGACAAAACTTGGGTAAACAAGACACACCTGCTGTATTTGGATTGCATCTAGTGGGATAAATAAATGTCATTGGTTCTTGCAAGGCATTTAAACTGCAATAAACGGGTGATTAGTAGCATGATACGTAAAATTAACCTAATGATATCAACAGTTGTCTATGAAGGGCACAGAAATGTCACCAGTTCTGAACTCCGGTGTGCCAATACTTCCACATCATGTTTACGTAACATCCGTCATGGTAGACACAAAATTTCGCAATATCTCGAGAGATATTGTGAGACTTTATTGAATTGTGCCTCATTGCCTTGGAATAACGATTTTGGTATAATTCCAGAAGACGTGTATACAAGTTATGCAAAATTATGTTATTAATTTGTGGGTCAAGAGTTAGAAGGGGTGAATTAGGAATTCTTAGGGGTTCAATACAAAAGATGGTACCCATTTGGACAGCAGCAGTGATACTCTTCTCTATCTGCTGATCTGCACTGGCTCGGAAGATGAATTCTGATTGGCTAAAAAAACAAAAAACTTGTGGCGTTGAATGCACGTTCATTCTCAGTAATGTTATGCAAATTAGAAATTCAAACTAGCTAATCATTTACAACCTTCCGAGCCAGTGCAGATTAGCCCTTCTCTATTGGTGTGCATGTGCCTTGCAGCTGGTAACCATGTTCACACTTCGACAACTTTTCTGGCTGCTATTGGAGGTTGTAATCTTGTGATCTGTTATTGAGCTGACTTGAGTTCCCGTTCACTGTACCACGAGGGTCTTCATACAAATGATAGGATTTAAGTTGAATTATTAGGAGAACTGTTCTCAATAGCATTTAAAAATCTCGCAAACCAGAGGATTCGAACCTGCAATCTCTCACATTGCTGACAGTGTGCAAATCCACAGAATCGTGTGGGTAGTCACACAAATAAATAATTTGTTGTAATACTTATTTTTATAGCAAGTTATTGATGATAAGATTATATAGTGTTATATATCAAGAAATACTACATATTTCAGTTATTGAGTCACAATTGTCAACAATTATGACAATTTGGTATTTTCTCCCTGTGTAAACCTTATACATGCCATAACCCGTCAGTGTACATCTTGAGTCTCCAGCAATTTGGTGTTTGCCCATTTACGTTGACCATACCTGAACCAACCCTAACCCTCTAACTAATGCCAAGACACTTTCCTGTTAATAATTGTAGCTCAATAATCATACTCCCGAATCTCGAATCCACTGCTTTTTCAAGCTTTATGTCACGCTTGTGTACCCCGCCAGGGCGTAGGTAGATGAGTGACGTTCATTATGGCACTAGATGTGGCATTTATTTACGGGTGCCTCAAAAGCGTATCTGAGGGTGAGTTGTGCGGGCACGCAGAAGCCATAACACTGACGTCTGCGTGTTGATCTGCGTGTACGTTCTCAGGTCACGCAAATGCCACGCAAATCGAGTCTGCGTGTACTGTCAGTTCTTTTGTACGTTATCATTATGAAGTAAGCCAAGAAACAAAAATACAATTTTGAAAAGTGGCATCATCGTATTTTTGAATGCATCGAAGTAAAACAAAAGAATAAGTACGCTGTTTGTTTTGAACTGTCGAGCCAAAATCAATTCCCGCTGACAATGTTTATTGAAGCGACGATCCCTCGCGACAGACTATGTCTGCAAGTTGTAAATGTTACATTCCATTGCAGCCATGGGCCTTCGTGTTGTGAGTTATTACCGAAAATAATGCACAAGATATTTCTTCACCGTTAGTACTATGAATCGTATAGGTCATTGATTTCGTCAATTATACGCAACTGGAACTTTCAACTTAAACACAATTATCATTTTTTTCACGGGTCAATAAAACCAGAATCAATTGGTTATCAGTATGTTATTTTAGACTGTTTTTTTATTGGGTTTTGGGTGATAGTTGGGTAGCATTATCATAAGGAAGTCCATGGTACAGGTCACGATGCGGCTTGTGTCATGAAGGAAACATGGATGTTGTTGATGTTGTGATCATTTTGAGCTTTTACAATGGAGATAAACTAAGATATTGCGTATAGGGTGGATTATTATTAGGTGTAGTGTTTTTACAAAATATAACACTTGTTCCTCGTTTTGCTACAACGCAATTACTTTTCAACACGGATTTTCAGCACACACAGAGCGGCGTTGAGTATTATTGTGGGACTATTATTGTGGGACGACGCTGTCAGTGGCAGAAGGTGTGAAGCATGTGTGAAGAAATGTTCTTTATAGTGGGGCAAAATATTTACGTACACCAATTATGAAACTAAAACAAACTAAAAATCAAGGCAATTTTCAATTACTATTGTTTATTCTTTCTCAGTTTTATGCTCGTACTTAGTTTCTTCCAAATGTTACAAAAATGTTTTTCTAATGAGCACGTTACGCATTTGAGGTACATACATCCACAACAACAACACGTCACATGCCGTCCTCGTTTAGCTCGTCATAGAGTTCTTACCAGTCACAATGTAAACCAAGAGGACATTTACTCAACTACTGGACATGCTTCTCATATTCCCCACCAAATTCACCATGCTCAAGTTCATTTGCAAAACTCAACGTATCCATCAATTCACAACTAACTTCCCCGTCATCCCATTACAATCTGTCAAAAGTGTTTGTCAATTGTACTTTTCAAGCTTCGGCGTACATTGACTTCCCTGGCACGCCAAAGAATAATCCTCCGTCTTCCCAGGAGTTGAATGCCATCGATGATTAGACAGAATAGTCCGAATAATAAATTTATTTTTGTGTTTTATTTTGTTATATATAACAACTTGAATTTCAGTGAACTAAACAATTTCAAGCACACTGTTCAGATCAGCTGTTTTTAGAAGTGGTATTAGCTTTGTAGTTACAATGTTTACAATATAAGGTTGAAATGTATATACTTTATGTTTATGTTAATATAAATTCATTTTACCATGTCAATGTATATTTTTACTATAGGGTGGTGGTCAGACCAAGGAGATTTTTTTTACTATCCAAATTCCTATTTTATTTTTACACAGATTATGTTTACATTATTTTTTTTTTACAGAATCCAACTTCAATTATTATTTTTCCTGGATACCTAGTTACGCATTGCCTTAACATACAGCAGTGTATACATTTTATATCCTGCTGGTTACTACCTTAAACTAAAATATATTTGGATATTTAGAGTACTAGCAAATTCCCACTTCCGGTCTGGTTAAAAACACCACGAATATTCACTTCAAAGATATAATTTTTGTTATGTGTTGGTTCTTGGATATTTCATCTTCGTCGTCCTGTACTTCGTTTAGTAATTCAAACTTCCCAGTTTGCGTAGAAGGGAGAGTTTCGCGATTTCGACATCGAAAATGCCTTTGCTGCATTCAAGTTATTTGCTGAGGGACGTTCAAGTTCTTCATTTTTTCGTAGCATAAAAACGATTTGCCCCCTCGCTTATTGTGACACTCTCAAATCAACTGATTTCCATTCCCCTCAAAAGTCAAAATGGTATACGCCTACATTTTACACCACGACTCGAAAACGTTTCAATGGCTGTCACTGTTGCATTCTGAGTCTTATCGATAACATTTTGGTTCAAATTCACGTAGCTATCGCCAAGAGAACTCGAAAAAAATTTCAACCAAAGCAAATTTGCATAACAATGCTTTTGCCCTAGGTTACTATATTGGACATCACATACAACTACATGTACAACATTTAAACCTTAGTAGGGGAATTCACTCGCAATATAGTGCGTTCTTACACAGCAACTGTGGTTATTACAGGTATCACTGATTTTTCGTCGCTGGAGTGAGTTCGAAATTTTGGTTCCCCGAGCA